GTGTGTGTGTGTGTGAGAAAGTGTGTGTGTGTTGTAAGCACGATGGACAGCAGGATAAGCATCATGTTTTACTTCATCTCTCGCACTCATCTGGTCTCCTAAAATGCCAAAAACATATTACATTTCATTGATTTCACATGACTGAAACAGCTGCACTAATGAATAATAATAATAATACACTTACATCTTTATGCTTTTGGATCTGTATGAGCTGAGCTGTTAGAGCCATCATCAGAGGCTACAACAGAAAACAAATTACAACAATTACAATCATCATGACAATATAGCTACATCACACAATTTCTTATTTATTGATTCTATTTAAAGAAAAATATTATAGAACTACACATATTTTGACTTACTCTTTGATTTTATATTACCAAAATTTTAGAAATATAAACATATTACTATTAACCACATCATGAAGGGCAGAGCCCATCTGTTATTAATAAATATCAAACAGAGATGAAGAAAAACTTACCATTGACAGGTTTGAAGCCTGAAAAACAGAAAACCACAAAGATGAAATATTAGCACACAAATGTGTAAAACATACAGTGTAGTCAATAGTGATAATAATAATAATAATAATAATATCTAAATCTCACTCACCTTTCTTTTTCTGATAGACCTTATACCCAGCAACAGCAATGATAACCAACAGGAGGACAGCAGCAACAACACCAACAATGATGCCGATGGGGACAGCATCTGGAGAATCAGATCAAGTGAAAACATCAGCTTATTAAAGATTCTGACAATCTTAGAAACTGGGACAGATTTCAAATTTCATGAGATACAAAAACAACATATGACTGTGACATCTGCAGTACAGTAGTACAGTCTAATCAGAGACTGGCAATAGCAAATGATTTCCATTAACATTTTTTAGTTCCATGGTGTACTCATCAAGACATCACTCTTAACATATGAATTCGGATCTTACCGTCTGTCAGGATCTCTCTGATGGTTTCGCCCTGATGCTCCACCACACAGCTGTACTGGTTGTTCTTCCGCTCATCAGGTGTAACTGTGATGGTGCTTGTCTTCTGAAAGGTCCCGTCTTCATTGGGAAGAAGTTGTCCAAGATCCACATCCTCGTCATGATCTTGTCCATTTTTCTGCCAGGAGATTGTTACTTCTTTGGGGTAAAAACCCGTAGCTTGACACGTGACTGGAGACGAGGAAGACTTCTGCAGCAGAAACACCTGAGGAGAGACTGAAGAGAGAGAGAGATTAAGATAAACAAAAAGATAAAGTGAAATTGAAACAGAAAATCAGACATAGTCTGCAACATTCAAATAAAACAAAGCAAATCTATAAGGTTGCTATATATTTCTTCTCATGATCTGTTGTTGTAGTCCTGAGATCTCATCAAGAGCTTTATCAGCCAAATAATCTGTTATTAATCACACTGACGGCTCAATCAGATTGAAAAGCTTTCACGTAAACATCTCAATCCATCTGACTGAGCTTGATCTGAATGAAATTTCAATCAGAATAAAGGGGTGGTAGACCTAAAATAATCTGATCAATAGAAAAATACTTAAGCATCTTCTCATATTCAAATAAACCTCGTGCACATGCAGAACATATGTCTATCAGAGCCCTTTTATAGATTGATTTACAGATGTATTACTTCTTATGAATGTGCAAGTTTATTTATGTCTTACAAACTGGTCAGTGAAGGAGACTGAGTATTTAATAAATATT